TCTCCCGCAGGACACTGTCCTGTGCTCTGAGCCCCACTCTCTCCTCACGCCTCTCACCACAGATCTTGCTATATAGCAGGAGACATGCAAATAGAGCCCTCTCTCTGCTGATGAAAACCAGCCCAGCCCTGACCCTGAAGCTCTGGAAGAGGAGCCCAGTCCTGGGATTTTCAGGTGTTTGCATTTGGTGATCACAACTGAACACAGAGACTGAACTCACCATGGAGCTTGTGCTGAGCTTGGTTTTACCTGTTGTTATTTTGAAAGGTAATTCATGGAGAAATAGCAAAATGAGAGTGAATGGACATTACTGAGATAAACAGTAAATATGTGTAACAGTTTCTGACAAGGGTGTCTTTTTGTTTGCAGGTGTCCAGTGTGAGGTGCGGCTGGTGGAGTCTGGGGGAGGCTTGGTTCAGCCTGGGGGGTCTCTGAGACTCTCCTGCGCAGCCTCTGGATTCAACTTCAGTAGCTATAGCATGCACTGGGTTCGTCAGGCTCCAGGGAAGTGACTGGAGTGGGTCTCAACTATTGGTACTGCTGGTAGCACATACTGTGCAGACTCCGTGAAGGGCCGATTCACCATCTCCAGAGATAACGCCAAGAACTCACTGTTTCTGCAAATGAACAGCCTGAGAGCCGAGGACATGGCCGTGTATTACTGTAAGAGTGACACAGTGAGGGAAAGTCAGTGTGAGCCCAGACTCAAATCTTCTGCAGGAACACTGTAGCGAAATCAGCCGCAGGGGGCGCTCAGGAGCCACTGGTCAGAGTCGACCCCAGAGGCAGGTGCAGATGGAGGCTGATTTCCTGTTGGGATGTGGGTCTTTATCTTCTTCTGATAGTTTCTCTAGTGAAACTTTCTAAGTTTAGAATTCTGTGTTTACTATTATCATCTCTTCATATTTTATTTTTTTTGAATTATACTTTAAGTACTGGGGGACATGTGCAGACCATGTGGGTTTGTTACTTAGGTATACACGTGCTATGGTGACTTGCTGCATCTGTCACCTCGTCATCTAACTTAGGTATTTTTCTTAATGCTATCCCTCTAGACATAAATTTAAAAAGATCATTTTAATATGAGGACCTATTCTCACATGCAGAAAATGCAGATGTTGCTTACAGAGATGAAAAGTCCTCAACCGTGGTCACCAGCATCAGAGTCCTGAGGAAACTGAGTGGTGCCTGGTGAGTCTTCTCCAATTGGACCCAGGACAGAAACCTCAGGGAGATTCTGGTACTAGAACAGTCCTTAAGCAGTTAGATCACAGCCAACAGAGAGGCTGGGCCAGGGTCAGTGTCATGTAGAACCTCACAAGTTTCACGTCTGATTCTTCTCCTGACACTAAATCCAATCAGCATCAGCAGTGATCTGGGGCTTCTTTTGATTCTATTTCATTTTCTTTCTTTGCAGTCTTTCTTTTTGCCTTTATATTTGCTTTTCCTGCTTCCTGAAGAAGAAACAGATGGTCTCTGTGGTCTACATTCCAGGGCTCAAGGCATTTTCTTTGAGCACAGGTGGGGCTCAGGTTTTGGCTCCTGCAGCCACATGGGAGAGGCTGATGGGACTTAGTTCTCTCCCCATTTGCTCAGGAACCTCCACTGTGTGGTGTGTAGACTCATCTGGGAAAGCAATTGGCCATTAATAGTGAAGGGATAAACTTACTTGAACAAAATGGGATGTGGATGTGGAATTAACCCTGTTCTATGCAAACTGTCAGAGTCATCTATTTCAGAAGTAGTGTTAGAAAGAGCTTGTGAAATGTATCAGAATCAAAATGGAGCCACTTGTGTTGAAATCCTAATGAATGAAGCTGTGGAAGGCCATGACAGAGGGTCTAACACACATAGTCCTGAGAGCAAGAACTGTCAAAAGTAGACTCTGCACAGCCACAACCTTACACAGAGGCCACCACAGCCTTCAAACAATTACTTCTCCAAGTGTATCTGCCCAGCAACTGCCTGTTCAAACTCACAGCAATGTCAACCCTGTGACTGATCCTTCCTGCCCAGGATAATTGCCTCAAAACAGCCGCTGTAACCCTCCCCATTTTTCCTTAATACTTTAATTGCCTTTACCAGCCTGAATGCACCCACACACATTTCAATTGCAATACACATCCTGGAGCAAATATCATGTTTTAGAGTCTCTTTGTGTCTGTTATTCAGGGTTGACAAGATACAGATTGACACGCCACATTTCGGTGATACATAGAGGATGACAGTTTTTGGAGATGGCTAGTAATATCCAGTGTCCATGCCTCAGCATGGCAGCTGAATAGATATGCCTGACATTTGTCTATCCCATATGACAGAACCACAGCATGGAATAAACAGCTAAGACTAGACTGGATAGTTGAAAGGAGAGACCTAGGGGGAAGCAGGGGAGAGGAGAGGTCCCTGTGGTTATTAGAAGCCCAGTAGGGCTGTGTGAAAGCACCGTGTCTCTGCAGCTTCATACTGAAAGGCTCACACAGACCCAGAATCACATGAGATTACCCCTGTTGAGTAAAGTTAAATAAAATAACCACAGGAGGCCCATGGCAATCACACATATCATCAATCCTTTCTACAAAATAATTCCTCAGTGCTTGCAAACCCTGAGCTCAATTTGGAGAGCTGGAAGGAATCCATGCAGCCGTATTGCCCCAGATTAGGAGCAAACTCTGTACTCCCTTCCCACCACCCATTCCTTTAGCCAAATTGCTGCAGCCTGATACCACCTTGAGACCAGAGACACTTCTGGAGGGTCACCTTCTTTTAGGCCAGTAGTCATTCCTTTTCCACACTCAGCCTCTGTTTCCATTCCATCAAACGCATAGAAGTGGCTGATGCCACAATATTGTCTGCACAAAGCCTCGACCCAAGATCACCTTTGACTCTGGTGTTTCCCAGCAGGAAACCAACCCCTGAAGAGACAAAGACAAGTCACAAATTTAAAGCTGTAATTAAAGCTCTCCCCTCAAAGACCCCAAGATTCGATGGCTTTACTGCTGAATTATCACAAACATTTAAAGAAGAAACAATACATACACTGCTCAAAATATTCAAAAAAATAGAGAGGGAGGGAATACTTCCAAACTTGCCGTATGGGACCAGTACTACCCTGATAAGAAAACCAGACAAGGAAGTAAAAAAAACCTACAGGCCAATATCTTTGATGAATGTAGATGCAAAAATCCACAAGAAAATCTTAGCAAACCCAATTCAACAACACATTAAAAATCATTCACCGTTACCAAGTACAGTTTATCCCAGTGAAGCAAGGATGGTCTAGCGTATGCAAATCAATCAGTGTGACACATCACATCAACAGAAAGAAGGAGAAAAGACATAAGATCAAGCCTCACCTTGTCCTCCTCACTCAAATCTGCCATCAGTGCTTTGTTGCTCTTGGCCAGTCCTGCTGTACTTGATCTTCTGTGATTCCTGTCCCAGATCCTGAAATACTGGGCTCCTGTGCACCTGCAGCCTTTCTTCTCTTTGGACATGGAGATCCTGTATCCTCAGAGAAGAGTGATGCCTCATTGTCGCTCCCATAGCCCATGCAAACAATTCCTCCAAGACAGTTGTGTGTTTTCCTGTAAGGAATTGAAAGGGGATGTGGGGATCTGGTGTGTGTGTGTGTGTGTGTGTGTGTGTGTGTGTGTGTGTGTTTACAGTGGTACAAAAAGAGTCCTCAGACCTGCTAAGATGTGGTGACCTAGGTTATGCTGTCATTCAAGGCTACCAAGGGACCTCCATGAAGAGAAATCCAGAAAAGGATAAGAATATGAACAAAGAAGCAAAACCTGGGGAGCAACAGGTAGGAGATCAGCAGGGGTGACTCAACCGGGCAGGGAAAACACCACGTACCACAGAGGGTGAGAACCCTGGGCTTAGCAAAGAGGAGAACTCCTTCAGCATTTCCCCCAATCCTCACACCCCAAGAACCATCTTGTGCAAGGAAAGTTCACAATGGAGAATCTCCAGCTTCAGCTGGGACTCCAAAATGTGCAGTGGGACTTTAGACTATACGTCCTGGAAACAAGGTGTTTCCTTGGTTCCTATCCCTTTTCCTCCCTCTCTGTCCCGCAAACCTGCTTGTTTCTGTCACCTGCCTTCCTGCCCCGGGGGTGGGAATGGATGCATTGACACTCAGCAGAAGGATGCTCTTTCAGAGGAGGAATGGGTTTGTGTCATCTGACACCTGAGCAGGACACTCAAACCTGGGAAGAGGCTCTGAGACAGAGGTTCACCATGGATCCTGCTCGTTACATGTGCAGGGTTCCTGGCACACACGCACTTCTCCTCAAACTCGGTTTACACCCAGCAACAGTGCTCCCCAGTGTTGCTGCTGATCCATCCCATCCACTCAAGCACCTATCCAGGGGCCTGTCACACCCAATGCATACCCTAGGTGGAAAAGGTGTATCCAGAAGCCTTGCAGGAGACCTTCACTGAGGCCCCAGGCCGCTTCACCCCAGCCCCAGATTGCACCAGCTGCACCTGGGCGTGGGCACCTGTGGAGGGGAGACAGGCGTGGGTGAAGTCTCACTTGACTGGCCTGGTTTCTCCCTCAGTCCTGGGACTGGGGACCCCCTAACCTGTTGCCGCTGCTACCAAGAAGAGGATCCTCCAGGTCCAGTCCACGGTGAGGAGCTGTGCTCTACGGGCCTCTCTGAGGAGGGTGTGGTTGTTGGGTGATGCTCTCAAGGCACAGAGATCTCCATATTCACCTCAGTTATTTGCATGTGCATGAAGGATGCTATTTAATAGCCTAATTCCTGACCTAGTATGAGAAAGAGCAAATAGACGACAGACACATGGACAACACAATTGTAGAAGCTGAGGGTTCAAGCCGTAATCCTGTTAGAAGCCATCTGTCCCCAACAGACCCCTGAACTCCGAGTTGACAGAGGTTCCCCCACTGGGTAACAGGCTCCCCCAGGACACACACCACACTTTGAACCCACATTTGAATGTCTCAGCGGCAACTTGAACCATTTCTAGACCTTAATATGTGAACCCATTATTTTGGAAGTGTGTGTGTTTTTCCCAAAATGGCACTTATTTATAAGAAAG